TTTTTTATTTATTTGAATGAAAATGTGTATTATGTATTATGATGAAATTTTGAACATTTGAACAAGAAATGAATCGATTGTTGACTAATAATTATTTAATTTATTGAGAAAATCACAAATGCAGTGACGCAATATTATATCATTATATTATACCAGTATATTGATGGTGTGAATCCATTGATTTGATTGGTCCGAACACAAAATTTGCATATGCAATCAATGGTATATTGGCTGATAATGCATGGCTAAACCAAGTGGCCCTGGAACCTGAATTGACTACAGGTTTAATACGGAAATACATAAAACCGGTATTATTTGATTTTTAGAGGAATATAGTGGTTGAATTTTTGGAAAATATTGAAAAAAAAACACTGAATTAAAACATCTGAAAAGTTATATAACCATAATATTGCTTTTTGTTAATGGTGGGATCCAAGTTGTGAGCGTCGGTCGCCTGCGGCTCGTGCATATATGTCGTGAACTGTGCAATATCTCGTGTTATACCCGCCTTTGGCGGGGGTTATTGCTTGAATAATTAACGCGTGTTCCTGTGATGTAATGATTTTCATAACACGATGAATCGTACGCATATTTTGCATATTGACTATACATACCACAGTTGCATTGTCATAAATAGCGGTGAACTTGAACTTGGTAACGCGGTATCACAAACTACGTACGTACAATCACATAGTACACTCGTTAACCTCTGAGCAAACCGTGTTTCAATCGCTTTGTCCTCTGATAAGCTTCGGCTGTACTCAACCAACAACATGAGTTTTGAAGACATTTTAATCATCCTTGGGGATTTCGGTCGTTACCAGAAGTACCAGGTTTTACTCATATCCCTAGCCATCTCAGCAAGTGCTTGGTATGATATGGGTAACACCTTTCTCAGTGGGTCGTCCGATCACTACTGCCGAGTTCACAAAAACCAAACGTATCGCATAAACTCCCCATTGAAGAACTATACGATTCCGTACAAGATCGATAAGGGTGTAATTGAATGGTCGCAGTGTGTTCGCTATAACAGGATATTACCTGAATGCCACGAAAGAGGCACGGATGTCGTACGTTGTGACAAAGGATGGGTATATGACACCAGAGCGTATGAGAGTACAGTCGTACATGATGTAAGTACATATCTGTGATGGCAAGAATTTGTGACGTCATAGGGAACGTACCATTATATATGTCAGGGAATTGTTCTACAATTTAAATGTAATCGATTCTATCGATGGTGGTGTCATGTGATGCGATGTAGTGTAGTGTAGTGTAGTGTAGTGTAGTGTAGTGTAGTGTAGTGTAGTGTAGTGTAGTGTAGTGTAGTGTAGTATAACTAACATTTTTATGGTTTCAATAATATAGACTCATTCTTTGTTGGACATTCTAGTTTGATCTGGTGTGTGACAACGACTGGATGAAACAGTTATCTAAATCACTCTCACAAGTTGGTGCACTATTTGGGTCATACATATTGGGCCAACTAGCAGATAGGTAACATCTGTTTTTTGTTGTAGTTTTTTTTTTTCATTTTATGTGGCAATATAAACAAATTCGATTCAAAACGATTGACATACTTCAAAGCGGGAGGGTCGTCACCTGCCCACGCGCAGGAATTGAATCCCAAGAAACGATAACAACACACGCTAAAATCGCAAAGGCTCGTGGGTAGACGCTTGTTTGTAAACAATGACACTCCATGGTCATCTGACGCATGCGCAGCTGGCGAATCCCTCGCTTAACTAAAATGGTGAAATTTCGGTTGCTCATTTCCAGATTTGGTCGGAAACCTATATTTGTATCAAGCGTGTCCTTTGCTGTTATAGTGACAGTTATTACATCGTTTGCTCCTGTTTTTTCAATATTTGCAATCGGACAGTTTCTTTGTGGGTTTCTAGTAATTGGTATTTATAACATTGGATTTGTTCTAGGTAAGTACTTAAATTGTTAGTGCACGTTGCTACGAATAGTATGGGCGTTGAACTTTTAAAAATAAATATAAGTAACTAGGTCGTTATATGAAATCAATTTAAATGTTTCGTTGGGCGAGGTCGTTGGACGGGCATTGACTGCGTGTTTCACTATTTTTTAAATAATAATTATAATCGGTGGAAAATTGAACCTCAAAAATAGTACCAAACGAATGACATGCAATAGCTGGAAGCTGTCTAGAAATTAGTTGTCCTAGAGAAGCATGGACATTTTAAAATGTCTTCCATGTGTGTTCATTTCGTATAACAAAGGTAATTTTGACTCAATATTACGACACAAAAACAGTAACGGACCAACAGCTAATACTGCGCGCCGACTGTAGCGCCTTAATTTGTTTATAATCGACGATTTGA